CCACTGTTGGTGGTGAGTGATTTAGGACAGCACAAACCCTGGCTGGCCACTTGCTGCTGGCTCTGCAGCAGAGGAGAGAGCACATTTGCTCTTCAGCTGCTGCAGTTCATGTTATGATGGTGTCTAAGGCTGCCGAGGATGAAAAGGGTACTGCCATTTTTGCTGCCCCAGTGCAGGGCAAGAAACTTTTGCCAAAAGGAGGCGACAACTATTGGGAGTAGTGTCATATACTGGAGGTAAGGACTGAGAATTGGAGCCTTGTGGTCACCAGCACTGGTACCTGTGAGTATGTTTTGTGGAATAAGCAGCTCTTTTTGTGTCTTTTTTTTGTGAGTGTAGTGGGTTGCTGTCCTGTGGTGGGAACGAATCTGTCTGAAGTCTGTAGTTAAGTATTGTTTGCAGCTTCGCAGCTTGTCTCTGTGGTTCATTCCATTGCTTTCTAGTTCTTGTAATTAAATGTAGTGCAACTAGTGATTGTGGGGGAGTTGCCAATGTGCTGGAATACATTATTATTACTGGTATTATCTTCATTGGCAAAGATGAAAGTGAATCCCTTTCCCCTGATTACGTCTTCCTTCTGTTGTCTTTCTTCCAGATTTAGCATACTTTTATGAGGTTGCTCAAACTTAGGTTAACCATTTTAGTAAATGTCTTTCAACCAAGCTAAAAAAAGCCCCACCATTAATTGTGTTGTCTGATTCTGTCAGAGAAATATGAACCTGACGTCCCCTTTGCCAGTATACAGATTCCTGGCAGGCACTGGAAAAAATGAAAATTCCCCTGGTCCTTGCAGTTCCCTGCACAAGCTATGATTCAGCAAGGCAGCCACGTGGGTGATGGTGCAAGAGTGATTACGCCTATCTGCTGTGAAATGAACAGGCTGCTTTCCCTCTTTGGGGGAGTGAGAGAGCAGAAAAGGAGCTTCAGTGGGTATTTCCATGCCTATTTATTTATTTATTTATTTATTTTTAATCCCTCTTCCAGTCTTGCCCATAATGCCAAACCTCTGCAGCAATTTCAAAAGTACTTCCTGAAGCTGTGGAAACTTTCCCTGCGTAATGAAGACAGGGTAAGGATAAAGGTGCATGCACAAGCTATGATTCAGCCAGCCACGTGGGTGATGGTGCAAGAGTGATTACGCCTATCTGCTGTGAAATGAACAGGCTGCTTCCCTCTTTGGGGGGAGTGAGAGAGCAGAAAAGGAGCTTCAGTGTGTATTTCCATGCCTCTTTCTTTCT